ACACTTATCGGGTACCCGATATGTGTCAAAAGATGTATATCGGGTACCTATCGGGCACCATGATTGGTGCATGATAAATGCATGATATGCCAGATTTTGACCAGTGATAATTATGTTATTTTCACTAAAGATTTTAACTATATACTATATGTTTCAAAAATTATCTATCATATAAATTTTAAATTCTTTAATTAAAGATACATTCAATTATTATATACTGTATATAGTTTTTATCTTCATATATAATGAAATTTTTTTTTTAAAAAGATGAAATATTCAAAGAATCAAAAATTAATTTTGAAACATTTGTATATAGTCCTAACTTTATTTTTATTATCTAAATTTTTATATTTTCTACATATAATTAGAATGTTTAATAATAAATATCAATTTTTTATTAAATTCTTTCATGAATTAATTTGTCAAGTCTTTCATGATGATGAGATGTAAGTCTAACATAACTCATATGTGACATGAATGTTTCAGTTAAATCAAATAAGGAATCTTTTAATACTATTTTGTATGTTATAAAAAAAAATATTGATGATATAAAATTAGTTATTTGTTTATTATATATCACATCATATTAATGAAAATATATAAAAAAAAATGATTTACCATTTACAACAATTATTGGGTCAGCCAGAACTTTTGAAGATGTCAATGCATAAGGGTTTCCTATGTCCCAATCATCTAAAGGTGGTTCTTGAGCATACTTTTCTAATGACAATAAACAATCAAGAATTACTTCAAACACATTTGAAATATCGTTTTGTACTATTCCATGTTTATCTTCATGCAAAGATTTTACAGTTAATGCTGTTAGGGCTAAAGAAAAGTAAAAAAGTAGTAATAATTATTTATCATTATTCTTTTTTTTTACAATAATTGTTTTTAAAAATCAAGATAAAAATATTTATAGTTATATAAGAATTGAAATTTCACCTTGTATAGCATAAATTGTGACATATAAATCTTTAAATAAGTTTCTCGTCCTTCGTTCAACAGATCTCTTAAGTAAAGGAACCGAAACTAAATAATAAGCCTTTCTAACAAAAAATGGATAATACCCTCCAGTTGGATGAAACCATTCTAATGATTTCATTTCCCAATATTCTCGATCTTTGGTAATGGTTTCTGCTGTCATTTTAACTTCAAGATTTTTTTGCCTTTTTACTACCTTCATTTTTTGTTTGGAAGCTTGAAGTTTTTTAAATTGTTTATGCTTATTTCTCATCTCTATTTTTCTTTGTCGTTGTCCTTCGATTTCATCTTGTGCGGATTGGGCAAGTCCCAATATAAAATCAATACATATACGTGAAATTTCAGCCCATGCCGATGTGGGATTATTATGTGATTCACAATTGAAAGGTAATTTACGATTGAAATCTGCATATATTGCACCCCGGCGATTAGGATCGAAATTTGATATATGCCATAATTCTAGAAATGCGATTTGCTGGATATATAAACATAACGTTAACATAACATAAACATAAAATATAAGGAATAATGTAAGAAGAAAGATTGTATTAATAAAATCTACAGATGGAATTTTAATTACCTGATAATATGGTTGATTATAAGCATGTAAACCATCAATGAGCATAGCGTGAGGATCCATGAATACACCAATCGTAGAAAGAATCTATAATTTATAAAAAGAGAATTTGATATGTGAACAATTATTATAATAAAATAAATAAATAATTTAAAATAGATAATTAAAATGTTTATAGTTAATATTATAATACTAACCCGTGTAAAAAAATGCTCAAATAAAAGATTAATCGCAGACCAATACATGACAATAAAGATCGAACAAAAAATTGTTCGATTAAACAGTTGCACATCAAACCAAGGTGCACGTAACCAATAATGATTTGTAGTATTTCTAAAAATTATTAATACACATATAATATATATATATATATATATATATATTATTGAAAGGTCAAAAAAAAAAATTGAAGAGAGAAATTAGAAAGGAAAAAAATACAACAATAATGAAAAACTTACTGAAATATAAAAATATTTGGAAACCATTCAAAAAAAAAGTTCCAAAAGATTAATTTCATAATCCAAAATATTATACTGAAATTTAATGCTCTAACTACAGTTCCCCAAATAAATCCATGTTTTTTACGATTCCATATTGTTAAAAGTTCTTTATGCAAAGCTTGTAAATATCTTGGCTAAATTTTTAAACAACGATGATGATAAACACAAAAATTGTTAAAAAAAAAAAAAAAAAAATTTTTTTATCTAAGTTTTTCGTGTAAAATGAAAGAGAATTTAGTTATTTGATCTTACAGGTTTTCCCTCAAGTAAATTACCTCAACGATATGGAATGAAAGCATATATCTTTTTTGTAACACAAAATCCACTCCGAACCAAAGTCCTAAAATGAAGTTATGAACATTTGCGATCATATAATGTTCATTAATCATGGGATTTAAACTTTTACAACTTTCTTTTTTATAACTTGGACACCAAAATCTATAAATATATATTCATATGAAAAATACATTATGAGAAGATCAATAAAAAATAGAAATTGTTTTTAAATAAAATGAAATAATAAATGAATAAATAAATAAACAAATAAAAAAGTTAGGATAAACCTTACTCATGATCTTCGGGAGACAAAATGATTTTTCTATTTCTCTTATAACTTTCACTTATAAGATCATAAAAAGTAGAACCAATTGACATCGCAGATGTAATATATATTAAAGGAATAAGATAAGCACGTTTTTTGAATATTAATTGATTTAATTCTTCTAATAGACTTGGGGTTGTAATCCGACGAACTATAATAAATAAATAAATTAATAAATAAATTAATAAATTAATTAATCATTAATAAATTAATCAAGATAAAAAAGGAAAAAGGAAGATAATTATAAATATAATTTTTGGAATTAAAATAAAGTACCTGACTCTTGTATGAGCGCTTTTCGAATAGCCATAACTGACAATAAACCAATAACATATAATTTAATAAAAGCCTGTATCGTATTGTATATTAAATTATGCTTTCGTGAACACGAATCAACTAAAGTTAAAATAATAGAGAATACGCGTAAGTTGAGGTATAATAATATAATTGTCAAAGACGCGTAAGTTGAAAAAATAATAAGTATTAATGTTTCATGTTGTTTATTCTAACCATTTTGAAACAGTGAAATTCCTATCTGAAATATGACAAGTGTGACGCACGTAAATCCTGCTGTCACTATCAAATATGTCTTTTGTATTTTCATTAGCTCGGTAGAGCCACAAGCAAAACCGTAAGCGGAATTGTCTTTTGAATTCATTTTAGACTTTTAGAATTATGGATTAACTTTGAATTAATTACTGTGAAGTTGGTGTTATTTCTGCAGTGAATTCACGTGACCTGCATTGTTGTTTTTAAATTATTGAACGTAATTTTTTTTTTTTTTTTGTATCGAATAGTAGATAAAAATTTCATTTTAACTAATCAATCATTGAAAATTATTTTATTAAAAAAAAAAAAAATTATATAGTACATTGTACAGTATATTAAAGTATATTAAAGTGTATTAAGTATATTATGTAAAAATGTAATATACAACAAAATGACAATTTCTATAATAAGTAACTTTAAATTATATATAAATTGATAAAAATTTGATTAATTTGATTAATTTATTTATTTAAATTTTGAATAATTTATTCATTATTATATACGATACTTACCTATATAATCTATCATTATTAATCTCAATTAGCAAATCATTTAATATTTTTTCCTTCTTAATAATTTGTTCTAAGTTTGATAACGATTCACCATAAAAAAACATCAACAGGACAAGATCTCTCTCTAATTTCTAATCCAATGAAAACTTATTTCATGATCCAAAATTTACATTGTTTTATATTATTTTATATTATATTTTTTTTACGTTATTTTACGTTTCTGTTCACGATTATCAGAACAAAGTTTTTCCAAAGCCCAAGTAGTGATCAAATAAGCTGAATACATTGTTTCCAATGAAATCCAACCAATCAAACATTCCCCAATGAATCCACCAAATAATCCATTATAAAAAGAACCAATTCCTTCTTCACTAATCATACGACTTACGCAATTCCAAAAACCGGAATAATATGGATATCGAATACCAGATATATTATACCCTTGTACCATTAATCTATCAACTACAGTTTCCAATGGATATATAACAAATTTTGCTACAAGATGACTTCCAATTGCGCAAACCAATTCCGGATAAAATTCATGTAGCATTGTTTCTTTTTTTGTGGCTGGTTTTGATGGTGGTGATAACCATTCATATAATTTTTGATAAGTTGCCAATTGAACTGTCTCAAATAAGAAATGACAACCATATGCAGGAACTAATGTAGATTCCCATTTAAGTCCATTTCGTGATGGTTTATTACTAAATATTTCAATTAAGGTACGTTTATAATTATTATAAAATACAATAGGATCTTGAACATCAAATCGACTATCTATTTTTCGAATAATGGAATGACGAAGTATAGGATATAATGGTGTAAATAAGATGAAATCAAATCCTCTCAACACAATTGATGTCATAATTTTAATTGAATTTTTGTTTTGACGTTCGGTGATTCGATCATATATAATTTCAAGGCTTGATTCATATAAAACCATTAAAGTTTGACAAGATATCTTCGTAATAAATCCATTCCATAAATGTTCAAAACCTTTACGTTTTCCAGTATGAAAAAGGTAATTCCAATATGCTAATAATGTATCTTGTTGTGGCGTATCATGAAATCCATTTTGATACATGAAAGGAAAAACCTTTTAAAAAAAATAATAATAATAATAATAAAAATAATAATAATAATCAAAAGTTTAAAACTTGTACACTCATGACAACTAATAACAACTCATGAGATTTATATATAATACACTAACCTGATGTCTGGTCCGTAATGTCCATAATGGATATCCAAAAAGGTATTGTGAAGATAAACCCGTTACTGCTAAACTGAAACCACATAAATTTTCAACCAATTCTTGAAAATATTATAAAGATAATAATAATTTATATTTAAGTTTTCAAATTTTTATTGCTTATAACTTTGAAATCATTTATTTTTTATTCATAATAACCTCTATTCGGGCTTGGTTGTTTATACTTTTCAATTGTTCGTAAGATTTCATTTTGAGCATGTAATAAGGTTCCCTCACTTTGAGCTCTGTTTGGATCATACATAAGATCAGAAACTCGTTCGACTGAATAATTGTTTTCATTATCATCATGTTCCGATACATTTGTGTTCCCTACGTTTGTAGTTTCTTCGTTATGGCTTTTAATTGGTTGACCAAGAGCTAGGTGCCAAACATATTGCGAGAGACCCATCTTTAAATTTTTGGTTCGTTTCGAATTTTTATTTAAGTTTTATGATCGCCGAAAAAATGGAGAAATTAGGTCGCACGAAAAACATGTGGATCAAACATTACTCATATGCCACGAGGCAAGAGACGCGTAAAAATTGTTACATGAAGATCAGGCACGTAATTCAGGTGAAAATGTATTATCTTTGAAATACTGTAAGCGAGGCCAAATCCATTCTTTCTTTCCACTCTTCAAGAGTTTCATCTTCACGAACTTGAGGCATATCACATAGTTTATAATTTGTGTGTTCAAGCATTTTATGACCTATTTACTAATTATATAGAATAATATAGTTTTTTTACCTATATGTATATATTTTCATTATTTCCTAGTTCCGATAACATGTATCACAGAAAACTTTAGAAATTCCAATGTATATATAACGATAACGATCACCCATGAAGTGCATGTTTCTTGTAAAAATTTTTGTTTAGGGGGGGAAAACTACTGTTTAAAAGGGTCACTTATTTTTCTTGTGATTCTTAACAAAGCTTTCAAATTTATATTTTTTTACTGTTTTTTTTTATATCATGTCTTCTGAACAAAAATATCCTGGTTACGAAGCACTTTCGTTATATTTGGAGAAACAGAATCATAAAAAATCTTTTTGGGGTTTTCTACAACAACATCGAAATGCGCTTGTTGACGCTGTTGTTGCCACTACTCCAGCTGCTTCCTGCTGGCGTGACCTTGACAAGTCCTGGTGTGATCACTTTTTAGCAGAAGCAGAAGAGCTATTAAATCCAAGTGACTTTAATAACTTGGAAAAGCAGGTGTTTTTTTTTATTTTATTTTGCAAAGAGAGGGTAACTCCTAGTAGATTGCTGGTCTGACTCAGGAGAACTATTGGGTATGATCACTTGGATATCCACTCTCAAGTCCTCTATTCAGGCATCCTAACTTTGTCGTTGGTAAATGTCTGCTGATTCCAGAGAGGGAATCAATTATGTGTCTGCATGCCGTTTATCATCTGATTTCTCTATACTATAGGGTTCACCTAAAACATTTGATTTTTGGCATGCCTTTACCACTAAATAGAAAATTACACATTAAATAAAAATTACACACTATTAACAATGTTTTTCTTACTATAGGTCAATTTGGAACGAACACGCCGTAATGATAAATTGGAAAAATATTGGAGTGATATGATTTATGAGTGTGAATTAGTAAGTAAAATAACTTATTTTGCATTTATATAAATAGTTAATTTAAAAACTATAATTTCTTAAGATGTAATATTTGAACTTGATGTTGTATGTTTTTAACAATTTGATTACTTTGTGATAATTCCGATTTTCTTTGTGAAAACTGTTATCTATTCATTTATATATAAAGTTAATTCAACTTTAACATTATTCTTCTGGAATTAGAGACGCGAAATTTCAGAGCTTGAAAAGGGGAAAGAACGTCTTCTTAAGAACCTTCGGGAAATAAAAGAAAAATACAAATGAAAAAGGGTGAACATCGTAACACAGCAAATATTTACACGAACATATAATTTTTATTTATGAAAGTAAGCGATATTTTATATTTTTTTAATGCATTATTGCAAATAAATTTTGATCAATTGATGTTATTTGACGAAACGGTTGTACATAATTTTATATAATAGATAAACGTAATTAGTTTATAATAGTCAAATCAAAATAACGTTGTTTATTCATATAATCGATAAACGCGATCGGGTGTTTATTTGTTTATGATAGTAAAATTAAAATAACGATGTTTATTTTTTCCAAACTGTTATTTACGTGACGAAAAACTATATAAATACCTATTTCTCGTAGGAGTGGTGGCTGGGATAAGGGTTTTTTTTTTTGAAAATGAAATTTTTATAAATATTTTTTTCTATTAAAACTTTTTCAATTTTCAATTAATTTTAAAGTTTAAATACTAAATTAAATTTGGAATCAAAATATATAATTATATTGGAGATTATTAAACAAGTTACAAATGTATTAAATAATTTAAATTTAAAATTTTTTTTCTTTTCTATTTTTTGATTTATTATTGCTCCACGGAGTATAAACCCGGAGTATTCAATTCAAATTAGGTTGGGTTGACCCTTGCTCTATTATAATATGAACCTACTCTGCTCCATTAACAACTTTATATAAATGTATCCATTTAACTTCACAAAAAATATGCCTTTTATGGTTTGTTTTTCTTCCTCGCAAACTATGTATAGGAATTGTTGCCACATGTTTCTTTTTGTACTGTGTCGTGCAAAAAACCAAAAATTAACGAACTTACTGTAAAAATTCCCACACAAAAATATCTTATCAATAATTAATAACGTGACTATGATTGAAAGAATTCTGAAAACCTATCATAATAATTTTAATAGAATTACAACTGAATTCGAATCAATCATCAGATTATCGCATCGCTCCGTAATGAGATTATTCAACGCCATGCAATTATTCAAAGAATGGATAGGACCAACTAAGCGAAACAGATCAATCTGAAATTTCTTCTACAAGTTATCTATATCTGATTTATTTCTGATAAGAATTTCTTTACCTTCCTCGCTCATCTCGGTTATTGATAATTTTTTTTCTGGTAAAGTTTTTCTTGGCTCCCTCACTTACCTCAGTTTCGCTAAAAATTTGTATGAATTGATTATAAGTTTTTTCCCATTCTTTCATAAGATTATCGAGCTATCTAGTACTTGAACCACCCTTTAGAATTTTACGACGTAATAACTCTTCACCGATCAATCTATCCCGATCAGTTAAATCTTCCTTTCTCTCTATTCCACCTTGATAAAATCGTATATATCTATCTAAGTCACCACAGAAACATTCCATGACCCACCTATTTTTTTCAGACTCAGTAACAATCGAAAATTTATCAGGATCTACTATTTCATATTTAATAGCATATTGATAAAGACATTTCATTTTATTTGATGCATTTATCCAAGATATAGATGTATATTGCCTTGTTTTTCAAATCGGAAGAATTAATATGTTGCCAAGGATCTTTTTCAGTCTCTTCTTTATATCTTTTATACACCTAAAACGAATTTTTTTATCTGCAAAAATAGTTGGTAAAGTTAGTATGCCATTCAAAATAGTCATCAGTGAATATTTTATTATCAGAGTTAGCCACTTTGTGATTAGACGAACAATTTTGCTGTGAGACAGTATTAGAAGACATGTTATCATTTTATATAAATGTGAATCAATTCAAATCCTGTAATGACAACTAGGAAAAAAATTTACTGTCCACTCACAAGCTCGTGCGCAGATTTGTGTAGTTATCTATTTTTGATATATATATATATACTTCACTGTCAATGAGAGAAACGAATTGATGGGTGCAAATAATTTTAATTTCTCATAATCCTGGTGTTTTATTGCAAACTAATATTCTTTATGCTGTTACTTCAATTTGAACTTCACGTTGCTCACATTTAGTATAATATCATATCTGCCTTTTACACCATCCTCACCGTTATGATTTAACTTACATAGTGGGCATAATGACTCATCAGTAATTCCATAATAATCAAATTTTTCACTACTAAATTCTCGATATAAATCAGAATAAGTTTCCTTGGGAAATGGTTTTTGAGTCTACTTGATTTATAATGTTTTGAATTTGTGTATTTGTTAATTTTGAAATATCATTTATACTGCAGGTGACATACTTAACTTTATCAATCCCAACTCCATTTTCTCCAAATAGCTTACGAATTTTTCTGGCCCTAAGAGTTTTAATTCGCAAGGCAACTCCTGGTAGATGTTCTAACATTTCTTTGTATATTTGGGTTCTTGCAGTTTTATCGTTAACTCCTGCCTTATGTCGAATTTCAATAATTTTATTCTCAAAATCAACTGAATCAAAATTTTCGATCATATGTGACATTGATATCTATATAGCATAATAAAAATCCTGATATACATGCAAAGTAAACACAATTATGTATGCGAAATTGAGTCACTAGGGCTTAGTTTATTGATACAGTAAAAAAAAAAATTCGCGATCATAGTATTAGTATTCATATATGGAAAATTTTAATCAAAAAGTAAATGTGATAAAATTCTTTATTTAGGATAAAAAGCTTTGATATAATATGTAATTTAATTTCGAAAAAAATTACTACAGTGAAAGATTATTCAATAAATTTTAACTATCAATTTCGGAAGTTCATCACAAGAAATTGAAAGAATCTCTTTATACACAAACTAGTTCAATATATATTATAATACTGTCAAATTGTTGATTTTTCAAGTATCCTCAGAGTAGTTTTTGCCTTTTCCTTTATTTTTTCGTAATCAAGTTCGTAATTATCTTCTGGTTTTATTTCATCCAGTCCAAAAAAGTCACCAATTTGGTTATATACTTCATCACTATAAATGTTCTCATCATCCTTGTAAATTTGTAAAAATAGATTAATTAAGTCATCCCTTTCAACTTCCGAGTTGACAATTTCATCGAGGATATACCCTCATATACTATAAGTACAGCTGCATTTAACCTGAATGGTGGTTGTGTTACACATCTGTATTGATCATTACTTAGTTTCCATCCAGACCATAACTCATAATCCTTATCTTCTCCCCGGTAAATTATAACACACTTTCTGTGAATAAACTCTCGAAGGGTTCTCTGAAGTTTCTCCCCATTTTGATTATTCCAATTGTCATTTTCGGTAAATCCCCAATCTTTTTCATGTCTAGCAAAAATATGTTGCAATCCTCCACGTGGATAAATAACCTGAATAAGTTTTATACTCTCCGTAAACTTAGCCTGATCTGATTTCTTCCGGAAACAGTTCCAATCCAATGACTGCCAAAATATACATATCGACCGTCAGGAAGAGTTGAGCAATTGCTATGATTACTTATATAGAACCAATGTCTATCAATCCATTCATTATTTTCTTTGCTATCGTCTTCATATAATCCCATCTAGATGGTGTAATTATTGACCAAGTAAATTCCAATTTTCCAGAATTTATTCTACATCTCAAGTTACATACTTCTCTTTCCCCAGTTTGTGACATTATGTAGAGTATTTATGGTCTTTGGTATTCTGTTATATAAGCGTTGATATATAATTTATCAAAATTCTCACATGCAATAATACTATGCTTGGCGTGAGAAATGGAATGATCTATTAAAATCTACTTAAGATCGTAAAAAGAAATGGTTCTTATATAGTTTTAGACAATAAAATATACTTGTTTGTAATCAGAAAAATTAATTCATGCTGCAAATAAGTATACTTAATTGATAGATTGATAACTTAACCGTAGTTTAATTATTGTTTAAATTTATCGAAAAATTAATTCATTGATATCCAATGATAGTTTAATTATTAATTGTGGATTAACAAATATATGGCGTATGCATTTGTGAAAATTTTTCAACATTGCTTTTTCGAGATGTCAAAAAAAAAGAGAGGGGAAAACCGTTTAAAAGGCAGTATATCAAAGTTATAGAATTATAGATTTTATTTTTTACGCTATCTCAACATATTAACAAATTTAACATATCTTCTATATTTTCAACAACGCAGGTTAGGATAAATTTAAATTCTCGACACTGCTTATTGGATATTAATATAAAAAAAAACTTTACATATTTATTAATAATAGAATATCTAATCATTTATTAATTTTAATCTTCGAAAATCAACTTATAATACTCACAATGAAGATTATATATAAATAGTTACTTTAATGTTAAAGGGTAACGCACCTGCATGGATTTTATTGGTGACAGATAAGGGTGACAAATATGGTTTTCACATGCTAAGTTAATAAAAATTGATATTCAGTAGGTGTGACACAGAGTGACAAATTTTTACTCCTAAAATTCGCATTAAAAAACAAAATCCTTTTATTGTTATTAATATTAAACTAGTGAGTATTTTTTTTCCTAGTAGCCACCTACACCAGTTTATCTAACTAACACATTTGTCCCAACATTAACTCCATGATCCAGTTTCATTTGTCTCCTGGATAGAATAAAATAGTCATTAATTATACTATACGAGATATGCAGTGTCAAAAAACAGTTAATAAATATTAACCTTAGTAAAAACCTATCAAAAAATTATGTTGTTCACCTTATGAACAAAAAAATGATCAGCAATTCTTTGTGTAATTACTATAGGTGCAGACTTAACTGATATGTAATTATAGGAAATGGAAAATTATTTGAGTTCGGAGTCCATTCTTTATCAGTCAATTATTATCTAAAAATCGAACAGACATTTACAACAGTGACATTTTGATATCTTTATGTTTCAGAATTAAAATATGAATGACATTCTGTCTATTATACAATTCTCAACTAGTAATTTTTTCGAATATTCCATATTTATCAATTTAAAAAATAATAATGACTCTAGAGAAAGAATTTTATAGTAAAGTGTGCGTTGCTGGAAGCATCAAATTTGTTGTTGACAAAACAAGTGAAGAAGACATTAATCTGTTGGACTTTAATAAATTTTCTTGTAACCTCACAACAATACTAACAAAAGATAGAGAAGTTGTAGCAGTAAACTTGAAACTTTTACTTGACAAATATAAAGTTTATATCATTAAAAATAGTGATTGACTTGAAGAAGATTATAGATATATTGAAAAAGTTAAAGAAACTCTAACAAATGTATCTAAAGATACTCTCATGTTATTTGAAAAGGTATATGAAAAAGATGATGTAAAAGATTTATATTTTGTTATAATTAAGTACTACTCTAATAAGCTCAGATTTAGATTGGACAAACTTAGGAAAGATATAACCAATGAAAAAGACAAGATAAATAAAGTATATATTCAGTTTTTTTTAAATTATGCTAAAACTAAAAAAATCAATATTGATGATATATATGATGATAAGAAAAAATTTCATATGTTTAAGATTTGTTGCAAGTATTATCAAACAGTAAAAAAGATTTTACATTTTTGAAAAAATTTCTAAAACATATCAAAAAAGGTGGGATCTTATATTGAGTCTTTGATGGATATCATAAATTACGTATATAAAGAAAGGTACAAAATCCCATTTTCTTATATAGATATGCATTTATTGGATCTTAGTATAACCAATTAACCCATATCTTCATGAAGTAATGCTGTTAAAAAATTTTTTAATACTCAAAAAGAATACGAAAATTTTAAAAAAACATATTTGAAAAATCATGTAATAAGAAAAAGACTGAAACTTATATATGGTGGCATAGACATGTAAATGGAATATGAAAAATTTAGTCAAATATATTTATATATGAAATTGAATGTATTGACCAACATAATGAATCATAATAAGGAAAAAAAATTTATAGCAGTTTTCAAGAGGTGTTGTTATTTATATGAATTGTATATCAAATTTGTACAATCCAGAGGATATAAAATTACATTTTCTGAATCATATAAGAAGTTATATCATGGATATAAATTTCCAGGTGCTCTAAAGAATGAATTCATGTCAGATGCTCTATTTAATCTTAATCAAATTATAGAGAATGAAATATAACATCATGTTAATATAAGTGCTAAATCTGATAGTGATGTGGAAAGTACAGAATATCTAGATAATAGTAAAATTGAATTTGTTGATACTTTCGAAGTTTAAGATATAAGTAAAAAGTATAGTCAAGTTTCTATTATAAAAGCAAGGGATTATTTTTATCAATAAAGTATACTAATTTGTATATTTAAAAATTTGAAGTAAAATCTTTATTTTATGAATGAATTATCATTTAAAGAGCTAAAATAAAGTTAAATTGTTGGAGTAACAGATGTTTAAAAGGAGGAAGCATTTCAAGTCCTAATTCATAAAATAAGAGTTTCTTTCCTTACCTCATATTGTCTAACCATCTACCTATTTCATTAACTATATTAACTTTACAATTACTACTTCAATTATAAAAATTTTTAACTGTAGATTGGTTAATATTCCCTTCAAGTTCATGAATATACACTGCTACAGAAAAACACATTTCATTAAAGGTATTTTTTTTTTAGCCATGACCCTATCAAAGATTTCTTTAAAGCAGAAGCAAATTGCTATGGTAATATCTGTATATTGAATTTGTTCAGATCTTACAATCAAAAATAATGATTAGTAAATTTTATTTTTATAAATTTCACATATCTCAGCTCAATCTCTACCTGAGGAATTTGGGAATGAATGAGTAGAAGATAAAGAATGGATGGAGGATGATGATGCTTCACTTATTAATTGGACCCCCTCCTATTTATACTCTAGATAAGTGCATAGCATTGATTAATTTCACTTTGGATCATTATGATGATTCTGCCAATTGTTTTGAATTTAGTAGCAATTTGTCTAAAATTATTATGGTAAGTTTCTAAAACTCACTCGACTTCATTATATTTCCCGATAAGATTATTAATTATAGAAATAATATTCTGCACCTCTATTACATTGTCGCACCAATTTGTGGACAAGGGTCTGAAGGATAACTAATATTCTTTAACTAAACTAACTTAAACTATTCAAATAATTCTCAGAATTTCTCGA